GTCAATAAAAATGCTTAGAAACAGAAAAGTTATACCGAAAATTTCTTATTCTGTGTTCTAAACTCCTGAAACATTGGTGCTTCGTATTTTAGAGCAGTCACTGCAATTAAGAAATAAATGAATCAAATCTGTATGTGCGTGTTTGTGTGAAAACCCCCTTTGTAATTGTTAACATTTTCATAAGTAACTAAGCTAATTTAATTACACTTTTTTTTCTCAGTAACTGTAACAGATTGCACTTACATTTATTTTGTAATTAAATTACGTAATTCCGTTACATGTAATTAGTTACTCCCCAACACTGGTGTTGAATATACAGAATATATGGGGAGTACAAACACTGATCTATAGTTGCCACCCCTCATTCTGCTCTTGCCCCCTCTTTGCCACCCCAAGTATAAAATCCTGGACACGCCCCTGATCCCAACGGCAGGCGCTCCAGCGGTTGATCTGCTGTTGCTATGGTTACCACCTCCAGCGCGCGAATTCTTGTCTGAAAACGCGCTCTTTTTGACATACTTTAGTGGTTACTCGTTATTGGTAATGTTTGATTAAATGATGTCAAATTAAACGTTTTAATATATTTGTGTGCATTTTAACAGAGTATGAGGTCTATTTGTAGGCCAGACCTTGACCATGCTCGCTCAACTATTTTAAATTTTAAATTTTCAGTGTTTTCGACCAGTTTCTAGTGGGTTTCGTATGGAAGCCCGTTTCCGTCACTGAATAAACAAATAAAAAGAAGTTATTGCAACTATTTATCTAACAATTCTGACTTTATTTCTCAGAATTGTGAGATATAAACTCGCAATTCTGACTTTTCCTCAATTGTGTGACATAAACTCAAAATTGCGAGAAATAAAGTCGGAATTGCGAGATAAAAACTCGCAATTCTGACTTTTTCTCTTGTGAATGCAAGTTTTTATATCGCAAATTTTCTTGCAATTGCAAGTTTAAATCTCGCAATTCCGTGTTATAAAGTCAGAATTGCGAGATATAAACTCAAAATTCTTAGAAAAAAAAATCAGAATTGTGAGTTTTTTATCTTGCAATTCTGACTTTTTTTCTCAGAATTGCAAGAAAATTCCCAATTCGGACTTATTAACTCGCTATTGTGAGTTTATATCTCACAATTCTGAGAAAAAAAGTCAGAATTGCGAGATAAAAAGTCACAATTACTTTTTTAATTTTTTCTTCAGTAGCGGAAACGGGCTTCCATAGTTTCGTTGTTATTATAAGTACAAGGAAAATAAACTTTCACATTTTGTTCTACAACAAAGTATACACATTTAAACCACACGTGAATTTTGAAGGCAGTTTTGATTAAATGTACACTCTAAAAAGAAAATCGTAAAAATAGGCCACAATGAACTGAATTAATATAAAATAATTATCTGTATTGATTTTTAACAGGCGTTTTGCCTGTATTTTGAATTTTGCATTGTGTTTTAGAGCTAATGCAAATGTCTGTAATATGTCCTGGCAGAGTGCACTTTTCCAGTATATATTGCTAACAACTTGCTATACAAGCACTACAGATGTCTGATTCATCAAGCATGTAATCTCGCATCTTTGCTAGCCGTTTTCTTCATTAAGCAGAAGCGCATGAGTCCAACTATTCCTTCTATCCTGTTGTATTAAAGGGGTCACAACGATGAATTCTGAAATTGTCAACACAAAGAGTCTTTTCCTTATTCAAATTCGATTAACTATTTTCATGTAAATTAACAGATGACAGTTAGGATGCCAAAGAAGTTCCAAAAATAAATAAATAAATACAAAAAAAAAAAAAAAGTATCAAAACCTAAGGCTTGTATCAGTCATTTTCCCTGAGTTTTGAGAGGGGAAAAAGTAAAAAGATAAAAATCCATTAATGAAAATTAAAATCAGATATTTAAAATCAAAATTTCACTTTTCTTATACGATGAACATTTTTTTGATCTATAAAAGTTCAACTTTAAGTCCAAACTATACTTTGTATGTCAGTTTATATTAATAAAAATAATGCAAATAAAATTAAATAATAAAAAATAACAATCCAAAAAAATTTATATACAGCAGCTTTGTTACTGTTAGCTAAAACTATTGTAAAAAATCATACAAATTAGATGAAAATGTAAAAGTAAAAACTAAAATGTTGCCTTCGCAACTAAACTGAAACTAAACTAAATAAGTATACTAATAAAACTGAATTAAATACAAAGCTATAGAAAAACTTAATAAAAATGATTTTATTTATGACATATTAAAAGACTAATTACTTTCACCCCAAATACTAATTAGTTGTAATTTTACATTTTTAAAATCCTAGGTTTTGCCCATTTGTCAGCAAGAATTTTTTACTAATTTAAAACACAATAAAATGTAATGTGCTCCTTTATTCTTTTATATATTTTAATATGCACAAGTCAGAATAAGCATGGTATTTGAATTTTTACATAAATATTATGTTACACTGAATGACAATGTAACATTATTTCAACCAAATTTTGACATTTTATCCTCCAAAAATGTATTTGAAACCTTAAAAGTAGACACTTTACTTACATTTAATGTGCTTTCTATGGACATATAATCACTTTTGTACATTTCTGTTGATGCGGACATCTTAACGTCTTTGACCCATATACAGTATAGACTTTATAAACACACACACATATATATATATATATATAAATGATTTATTTTAGTAAAAAATTTGCATTTCAAAACTTCTTGCCGTCTCAATGAAGAGCTGACTAATTTTGTGACAACATGCCCCACTGTAAAGGCCCATACAGAACTATTCAGAAAAATAAATTAAATCGATCAATCAATAAGAGCATCAAAACTTAAATCAAGTTGTGGAATCCTGATTTTAGATGGGGGAAAAAAAAAAAATAAAAAATTTATTTATGAAAATCAGAAGCAGGGCAGTTTTCCCCTCTTCCTAAATGATGAAAAAAGTTTGAAAGGCGGGTTGAGAGACGTGGAAACTCCTCAAGTGCGTGTATAAAACCCCTTGAGAAGCGTGGTTCAGAAGTCTCCCGAGTTTTCTTGAAGACGTCGCACACAAGCTTGCGCAATCAGGATGCCGTCAGCTCAGAGTAAGTGCAGCGTTCGAGACAGACGGATCCTCGTGAGCAGACGCAGCTCTTCACATCTCTCTCTCTCTGCAGACGCAGCGCTCTTCCTGTCTGCTGTACTGGCAGCGTTCCTCAGTCTGGGGGATGCCGTGCCTGCCTACAGCGGTCTGGCCGAACTCTCCGAAACATCTGGAGACGAGGTTCAGGACGTGGAGGGAAAGAGTCCTCTGAGCGAGCGGCAGAAATGGTATCTGATGGCCAGAGATCTGCACAGAGACGTCAAGACGCTGCGAGACCAGCAGGTGCGTCTCAACTCACATTTCTGCAAAGATGCTTTGTGTTACTCAAACTAACTCGGAGCTCCTCCGTCTGCAGTTTGAGAGGGACTTCAGAGAGACGGTGAACATGACGGCGTATGAGGGAGTGAGGATCGAAACGCCTCTCCTCGAACCCTCCGACGGCTGTCTGTCCAGAAACTTCAGCGCAGTAAGAACACGCTTCCTCTCAGATGACTCTGGTTAATTTATGGCTCGCGGTTTAATCAGGAGAATGCTTCTGAGCCCTAAGCTGATTTTACATTTTAAAACAATAACATTAAAATTTTGAAACTTTTTTATCATCTCTGTAAATACTTTTTAACATTTTCTAATGCATTATGAACTAATATGAACAAACAATATTTTAGTTTAATGATGTAAAAATGCATTATACATTTCATTTTTATTTATATATTTTATATTTTATATAATATTTAAATTAAATCACATTGTTATTAGGTTTTTTTATATTTTTTTATTTTTATTTATATTATTTAGCTATATTAACAGGTCATTTATTTTTTTTATATTTATATTATATTTAGAAAATTGTTAGTTTAAAATTTTTCATTTTAAAACAATAACATTAAAATTTTGAAACTTTTTTATCATCTCTGTAAATACTTTTTAACATTTTCTAATGCATTATGAACTAATATGAACAAACAATATTTTAGTTTAATGATGTAAAAATGCATTATACATTTCATTTTTATTTATATATTTTATATTTTATATAATATTTAAATTAAATCACATTGTTATTAGGTTTTTTTATATTTTTTTATTTTTATTTATATTATTTAGCTATATTAACAGGTCATTTATTTTTTTTATATTTATATTATATTTAGAAAATTGTTAGTTTTAAATTTCTCATTTTAAAACAATAACATAGTAAAATTTTGAAACTTTTTTATCGTCTCTGTAAATACTTTTTAACATTTTCTAATGCATTATGAACTACTATGAACAAACAATATTTTTGTAAACATTTTATAAACATTAACAAAGTTTAATGATGTAAAAATGCATTATATATAATCATTTTTTATTTATATATTTCATATTTTATATAATATTTAAATTAAATCACATTGTTATTAGGTCTTTTATATTTTTTTATTTATATTTATATTATTTAGCTATATTAACAGGTCATTTATTTTTTAATATTTTATATTTATATTATATTTAGAAAATTGTTAGTTTTAAATTTCTCATTTTAAAACAATAACATAGTAAAATTTTGAAACTTTTTTATCGTCTCTGTAAATACTTTTTAACATTTTCTAATGCATTATGAACTACTATGAACAAACAATATTTTTGTAAACATTTTATAAACATTAACAAAGTTTAATGATGTAAAAATGCATTATATATAATCATTTTTTATTTATACATTTAATATTTTATACAATATTTAAATTAAATCACCTTGTTATTAGCTTATTTAAAATATCTTCATGGAACATGATCTTTACTTGATATCCTAATGATTTTTGACATAAAAGAAAAATCGATAATTTTGACCCATACAATGTATTTTGCCTATTGCTACAAATATACCCCAGCGCCTTAAGAATGCTTTTGTGCTCCAGGGTCACAAATCATCAAAAAAATATTGGGCTTGTTTTTGAAGCAGCGGTTGCTTATTTGTGTCGTGAGAGTTGGTAACAGTGTCTGTCTCTTTGCTCCTGCAGCTGCAGATAGCGGACGGACAGACGGATCAGATCTCCAGCGCTCCTCTATCGGTCAGATCCGCATGGACGCGCAAGACCACGACGCATTCGATCCTGTTCAACTTCAGCAGCGTGATGATCGACACGTGCAGAGCCCTCAATTACATCAGCAAACACAAAGCTGCACACCGAGCAAAAGACACGAAGAGACCCGCAGGCTGGAGCTCCGACAAGAACTCGTTTACCTGACTATCCTATTTATTTATTGACCTTTGCAGATATTTAATTCAGGGCATGATAATTTAATATATTTATGAGTCTGTGCTTTTAACTTATTGACTGTTGTGCAACACTGATATTTATAAATGCAATATTTATGTGCCAGTACTTTCATTTCCCGTAAATGGGTTTTTCTCATTAGAAAATCAGTGCTGATGAATATTCATGAACTTGTTTGGTTTATTTGAAACTGAAAAACTGAGACCAACATGCTGACTGTTTACAATCATCTAATTCGATTCAATAAAAAAAACAACAAAGAAAGCTCAGTTACATTTTGTGTGTTTCTCAATGCAATGTTTTAGAAAGAGGAAGCAAAAGTCTTAAAATAACAAAGCTGGGTGAGGTATTTACATCCCAGCACAGCGTCCCGTGAGATGCTCGTCTGCGTCTTCATCAGGTTTGTGGATTGGGCTGGAGTTTCCGTCAGGAGCGTCTTCATCCCCAAAGCAAACTGAAAATACAAAAAAACTTCTTCAGCAGCTCTATGTGCTAAAACACGGAGATCTTCACACGAGCAGCTCACAAAACTCACCTGAGGACCGAGGGTTCAGGAGGAAGCAAAAGTCTTAAAATAACAAAGCTGGGTGAGGTATTTACATCCCAGCACAGCGTCCCGTGAGATGCTCGTCTGCGTCTTCATCAGGTTTGTGGATTGGGCTGGAGTTTCCGTCAGGAGCGTCTTCATCCCCAAAGCAAACTGAAAATACAAAAAAACTTCTTCAGCAGCTCTATGTGCTAAAACACGGAGATCTTCACACGAGCAGCTCACAAAACTCACCTGAGGACCGAGGGTTCAGGCATCCCCGGATCGGCTCCCTGCTTGAATCCTGCGAGAAATAAACACCTTCAAAAACACACGCTTCTACTGAAACCCGCAACAGATTCAGAAGCGGGAACTGGGAATGTCACGAACTGCTCCAGCTCACATTTCATTAAAAATCAACACATAAATTAAAATATTAATTATAATAAATGTAATTACACATGAATGAATAACTACACATATGATGTAATATTTTATATTATTTTATTATATATATATATACATACAAAACTACACACACACTTAAATTACAATTTTTAAATGTACAAAATAATAAATCATTATATAATTATATAATAACCATTTAAATTACAATACATTATTTTATAAAAAATATACATAAATATTAATAATGAAATTATATGTACATAATTAAAATGTGATTTTCAAATGCATAATAATAGTTATAAAATTATATTTAGCCATTTAAATTATATATATACACACAATTTTAAAATTTACAAAATAACAAAGTATTTTATTTATTAAGTTTCTATATACAAAGAAAAGTAAAGCAATTTTCCCCCATTACTTTTAGTGTTCCTCATGACTGTAATACTGTATTTTCTCTCATTTCAATCAGCTTAAGAGCAAAACAAGAAATACTACAATCATTAATGAATTAATCTTTTACAATTCGATGTCAGTTTTTTTTTTTTTTTTGCATTACAGCAAAAACAATGCAACTGAGAATTTGGGAGCAAGTGTGTTTAATTGTCACTAATAAAGACAATGCAAAAAAAAAAAAAAAGGTATTCCTTTTCTTAATGCAGTTTATTTTTTGTGTTCTTGACGGCTTTTGTGAGATTCACTGATCTACAGAGCCGGTGACATTCAATATCATGCCGATATGTGTATTATCAAAGTCCCTTTAATTAATTTTTCATCTAAATGAATCTCAAAAACTGCATGCTGAACTCACAATTAAATTACATATTTCAAGTCAGCAACAAAATCTGAAATGAACTGCCCCATGAATGTTGTTCCTTATGCTCAAACAGCATCAAAAAAGCTTATTTTCCAGGTTTATGTGCAGTCATAAACACGAGTCTCAGGTTTTTATGGGAACCGGAGCTTCTAACAGCAGCTGCAGTGACGCAATAACTTTACCAATCAGCCATTGGCTGTTTTATACAGGAGATGGGACTTTTTTTCTGCCATATTGCACGTTGCAGTTTCTCCCATTCATAAGTAATAGTAATAATATACCTTAAAGGGTTAGTTCACCCAAAAATGAAAATTCTGTCATTAATTAATCACCTTTGTGTTGTTCGAAACCTGTAAGACCTTCGTTCATCTTCGGAACACAATTTAAAGGAGACATATTATGACGGTGCCGTGGGTGGAAACTTACAGATTAAGGGGCGGTAATATTTTAATAAGATCCCTTTGCCACGTCACCAAGGGAGCGAAATCAAACGCGCTCGTTTTCTCAGACGCTCGCACATCAGTGGTTCAACTGTAAAGTTACGAAGCTACAAGAATACTTTTTTGCGCAAAGAAAACAGAAATAACGACTTTATTCCACATTTTTGGGAACTTTTCTGGACCTTGAACGTGGTAGTTACCTTGCTGTCTATGGGAGGGTCACAGAGCCCTCAGATTTCATCAAAAATATCTTAATTTGTGTTCTGAAGATGAACGAAGGTCTTACGGGTTTGGAACAACACGAGGGTGAGTAATTAATGACAGAATTTTCATTTTTGGGTGAACTATTCCTTTAATAATGACAAACGAGACACAAAATAGCTGCAAATAAATGAAAACCATTACAGTTGACACTGGTTAATCAGCCAATCAGATGTGTTTGACGGGCCTGTCATGTAACATTACCAAACGACTGAATGCAGAGCAATATATGGGACTGTTGTCATGCATTGTCCATGTTTTTATTGCATCATGAATGCGCTCTCGCTCTCTCTTTAGCAAGTCTGTATTCCTCATTCACAGGAACTGACAGAGAAAGCCTTGAGCATCATGAAACCGCCTCAGATCCGGAGCACAAAAGTCCGAGCACAGCCGATCCTTCCCGTTTTCATCCAGCATTGGTCTGACTAACACAACACAAGCGTCATCCGTGCGAGATCTCGAAGAATCCAGATGTCAGAGCTGATTCATCCTCATTTATTTCTTGAGCAACACACTCCGGACGAGCTGTGAGGAATGCTTTTTCTTCTGCTTTTCATATTCATATATTACTCACATGCTGGATACTGGACTGTGAGGTCAAATCAGATAAAGAACTCTTTTGTGTTATCCTGAATGTATTTAATTTTGCTAAATAAATGCCGTATGTGGACTTCAAATATTTATTTTAGTTGAAACGATCATATTATGCGGAAAAAGAGAGCGCTCAGGCTGGTTTAATTGTTGGATTGTGTGGTCCAATTTTATTTTTTAAATGTGAGCCTGCAGCACAAAAGCAGTCTTAAGTCGCTGGGGTATATTTGTAGCAATAGCCAACAATACATTGTATGGGTCAAAATTATAGATTTTTCTTTTATGCCAAAAATCATTAGGATATTAAGTAAAAATCATGTTCCATGAAGATATTTTGTAAATTTCCTACCGTAAATATATCAAAACTTAATTTTTGATCAGTAATATGCATTGCTAAGA